TTTTCAGCAACCCAAAAGAAATATCTGGATTCTGAGTCTCCCCAACTTAGGGTGTCCGTCCTCTTGTTTAAAACCCCCAAAAAAGAAACAGCGACTGGTCCGTCCAACTTAGGATAGGCCCGGTCCAAAAAGGTTATGCAATCAGCCCAGCAAACATAAATAAAACACAACACCGAACCCACTCAACCCAGAGGGATTCAGCCTTGGGTTGACCTAGTCAAACGCATGCAAAACACCTTCATCCCGCCTTCCCCCTTTTCCCCTTTTCTTAAATCAAACAGACTAAATATCTGATTTTCACACATGATTCATTCCTTTTATTTTGAATTGATTCAAGAAACAAAGTTCAAACTAATAAAGCCAGAAATATATATAATCTTTATCACTTCCTCAGTCAAAACAGGGTAATAGCTTTAGGTGAATATTATAGGGTCATATGAGTAAAGCGAGATTATATGTGAGTGTTCCCTGCCTCCAGAACCCCGCCTGGGCTCCGGCAGAGCTCCCACAATCAGTGGGTGGACCTCCCACAAGGTCTTGTTGCGGTCCTACGGGTTGCAATCCCGCCTGCCTCCTTCCTCTCGTAACCTTAGACTAGACTTAGAGTAAGAAGGATATAAAAAGATAAGTCAGACGCTCAGGATACAAGGGAGGGACAACTCAACTCGCTGTGAGAGGGCCTTGGAATCCTGAATATCCGGAGGGCCCGCAATGATGGCCAACTGACGCAGTAGAACCAGTCAACCTTCAGTCAAAATGCAGAATAATCATTCCCTGACCACCTCCAAAGTCGTAGCATGATCTCCACACAAGCCCAAACACTCCGCTAAGTCGTAATGGCGCTCTCCCTGACAAAACCATCGTTTTCTCAGCCCCTGAAGGCTGCGTCTAATTAGAGCAGCCGCCTGTGCTCTACTTGAAAAACCGCAGTATTCAGCAAACCACATTAGCCGCAATGTTACTACCGACAGCAACAACAACGGTGACAACCAGCTATGTCCAGTTAATCGCAGAAGACACAACACGGTTAATCAGAACACCATGCACTCAACAAGGGTGCTCAACAAGCATGATGAATGCAGCAACTCCGCCATAATAGGCCACCGAGAGGTGCAACAACATTCGGAAGTTCACCCCGCAACCCAGTGCCTCTTAGTTTCCTCCTTTGCAGTAGCCCGCGTTACCCACTGCAAGCTGGCAGTTCGATCTTAGCCAATAGCTGAGAAAACAGCAGCAGTCACAGAGTGCACATCAATGCCCAGTGTGAGGCAGCACACACCTAGCTGCAGCGGTTGCCCCACTATCACAGCAACATAGTGACCTTCCGGGCAGATTGTGCCTGCCCACGGAACACAGGCTACTTCCTGCTGGTAGCCACAACATCATTGATCTTCGAAAGTCAGTGACCTGATACAAACAGCGGCGCTCATGATCTGACTTTGCCGTAGTTGTTGTCTATGAACAGTAGCATTTCGAACATGTTCATGTGGTCATGAAGATCAGCAGCTCCACTAGAACGAATCGTCAATTAGCAGTTGTGCCCTGCCTTAAGTAGCAGCAGAGCCGTATCAACTACACTTCCAGATTTGAACGCAGTTGTAGCACATAGAAGTTATAGTACGCAGCAGCGGCTTCACCACTGTGTTTTTGATATCGCAGCAAGACAATTCTGACTATAACAATCACTGTTCACAGACCAACTGCGCTGACCGCAACAGTCTGACCACCAGCAGCCAGCTAAACAAGGAGGGAAGGTGGAGGAGTCGGGGCCCCCGAACGCTATGGGAAGCACTACTACAGCGGGAGCTGGCTTCGCTTCACCACTCACCAAATGTGCAAAATAAGAATGAAACTCCCGCCAAAAACATGGACCGATACACTCCCCAACGAACAAGTAAGTATGCCCCCCTCTTTTTTTTTTTTTTTTTTTTTTTCTTTGCACCCGCACATACGAATGACAGCAGCGTTGCGGACTTCGAACACGTGTGCCAGCATGGGCTGGTCGGTGACGATGTCAAACAAAAACCCAACAGGAATACAAAGGTCGGAACAACAAAGACCACCCGTGGGGTCCCAATGACCGCTACGACCGCCACGAAGCAGAAGGCCAAACTCGAGTACTAAGACCAACACCGCCACCTCGACAAGTAACGACGACGATCTCGAGGAAGCTTCATTACGCCACTCCGCCTACAACTCGGAGTGAACCTCCCGTTAAGGCACAACCCTATCTATGCCACGCGAGACCGCCCTCTGTGTCCTACATCCGAGCATGTACCTCTCGCTAGAAAACATGGGACGGTACACTATCATAACTATTTATTATTATTACCACTATTATTACTATTATATAGTTCTATCTTCTCCGCACCGGGCCCGGCCCGTTGGATTGGCCAGGTTCATGCAAAGTCATAAGATGAGAACATCCGCGGGACGGGGACAAGGTCGCAATCATCACGAGAGTGAGCATAAGCCCCTGTTCTACTATTCACTCCCTCGTGATTGTCTCCTTCCCTAAACCACGGATAGATGCAACGCTTGAGTAAGTTACTTTCCTCAGCTCCTTTGCCTTCTGCCGTGCTTAACTTTGTTGTCCTCGGTTGAAACAACGCAGCCCTTACAGCTTATACCAAGCAGACCGCTTCCCTGATCAAAAATCTGGTGCGGCCAATCCGTTCAGGACAACTTGAAACCCCCATTTTGCATCTGAGTTTGTCAAAAATGGCCAAGAAACGGCCAAATAATCCACTTTTCACTCCTGCCTTTCCCTTCTGCCTTCCTTCCTCGACTTCTCAACGCACCTCATTCCTTTCTTTCTTCTATTATACCCCTCCCTTCATCAATCTGAGTGGGGGTTCAGGATCCCAAAGGTCCAACCTCAGGATCGAGCCCCACATCGTCCGTTTCTATCAAGGAACGGGTTAGATATGGCCTATCTCTTCCCACCACATCTCCCTCTTCATCGTCTTTCACGCGCTCCTCTTCGTCTTATTGGTGACGCCAACGCGTTCTACTTATTGTAGCGCAGCAACTAGTAAGCGGTCCGCATGAGAATAGCCAGTAGGTAAAGAGCCAGGAGCGAAGGAAGATCTGCAGACCATTCCTTCATTTATGCGTATCATCCTTGCGCAGGGGTCGTGCTAATCTTCTCTGTCTCGTTCTAATTTTAACGGACGTCCTGAAGGACCAAACCTCATGGCACAGGCTTGGGATATGGCCCCCGAACCGGCAATAAAACGTGAGTCTGTATTTCAGCAGTTCATTGGTACACCAACTGAGTTTAGGCTTTTCAAGCCGCCCGATCCTGGTACCGGCACCGGACCGTTGTCGGAGGGCACGGTGTCCCGGCCCTCCTCTGTGTACCAAGTCCCTACTTGGTACCACCTTTAGCTCCAACGCTGTGGTCTGTAGCAGTTCCCGAACCACTAAGACCCTTAGTACCCAGACCATACCTTGACGTGGACCGACCCTGTTCGTACCTGCTTCCGCAAAAAGGTGCGCCGCAGGGCTTTCCATTGGTCCACGTAGGCTCGGCGCCCTGCTGTACAGCAGAGCACAACCGGCCTGTGGCCGTGGTAGCCGCCGGGTTCGCCCTGGGACGTGGAGGTGGAAAGACCAGCGTTGTCTCTTCTACTGCGCGTCGATTGCGCCCTGGTTAAGTTATGGGTCGGGTACGCGGGCTCGCTGTGACAGTCGAATAGAAGAGGGGCAAAAGAGGGGAAAAGAAAGAGAAAAGAAACTGGTACTCTGAGTCAGGATCGATCTAGTGACTTCTGATCGACGCAACGTTATGATTTTATCCGTGTCCTATTTATACCATTTATCTTTAATTATTATTATTATTATTATTTTCAGACGCGAGTCCACTTTCGGTCCCCGTCACATCGTAGGGAGGCCAACGGTTCGGGCTTCGAGTTCGAGCGGTGGTATTGTGGCCTAGGCAGGCCCAACCCTTCGTATATCACCTATATCGGGTCTGCGCATCTAAGCTCCGCGCGGTAGGACCCCTGTAGCTGTATTAGAGGGCAGATACAGTGGGGCCTGAAAAGGTGGGTGTGTGAAAAGGAAAAGAAAGGGATGAGGGCGAAAGTTGGGTTTTAGATTAGTGTGTGGACTTGTACCGCTATTCAGGCGGAGCTGTGGCGCGGAGGAAATCTGAAGCACCATCCTTTTTTTTTTTGCAGTTATTATTATTATTATTATTATTATTATTATTATTATTACCTTACTGGTCTTTCGGGTGCGACTTCCCCTTTGCATTTTCGGTCATTTCGCGGGAAAGCCGACGGTTCAAATTTCAGGCTTTGTGGTCCACTGCCTAAGTTGGCCGACTCTAGGCATCTCGTCTCTGAACGAGCTCCGAATGAGCGTCGCGCTGTAGGACCCCAAAAGAGGGGCGACCCACGGCCGCATCGGTAGGAGGCTTATCACCCCCCTCATGGAGGGTCATAAGCCCCCTCCTTACCACCGGACACAGGTACCCGATAAGGATAAGCATGTGCTGCGTTTTAAAAAGGGAAGCGTGACCTTCAGTATTCCGTTATGGGACCGCAGTGTCGAACCTGCTGTCTTATCGCTAGGGCCTGGGACTGACAAGTGCAAGGCTGGTTCATGATCGACCGTTGGGTTTTTAGGCTTGAGTGTTACTCTCTGAAAATTATTTAGTCTTAGTTTATTGCCACATTTTATTTATTGCTATTTTAGAACTTTTAAAATTCTTGAATGCGGTGAGATCTGAAAAGGACTAATCGGAGTCCCTCATTCAGAACGTAGGGGGCAAGCCTATCAAAGGAAGAGGGAGTCTGGATATCGTCCGCGGCCGGCAGTCTAGTAGCACACAGTCTGTACTGCGGGCTCCGGTGGAGAGTGGTGTGCTATTGGAAGTTGACGGCTTAGTGCTGCGCTGTTTACCGAACGGGTGCTGGGTATTCGAGTCAGTAGGCGGGGCTGGTGCTGGGCCTTGCGAGCTAAGCCTAGCTATGGCGTTGCACGGGTATAGGCCCGGATACTGGTACCACCAGGCCCTATGGAAACCCATGTCTGGGGAAGGGCCCTGGATCACAGTAATGCTCAATTACGATGGGGGTGACGAAGTGAGGCTGAAGATTAACGTGGAAGGGGCTAAGAAGGTGGAGATGTGGATTGACCCAAAACTGCAGGATGCGATCACGAAGGCAAAGGATCGTGCGGAGAGGCGTTGCAGGAGGGACGGAGTGACAGCAAAATTGCAGGTAACGGTCTCATATCATGAGACCGAGACCACAATGGACACAGCGGACCTGGAACAAGCCCACCTGGACAGGGACTCAGGTGGGGAGAGCGAAATGAGCGAAGCTGGAGATCGAGAAACGAACCTCAGGTCCTGGAATAGACCAGGCGAGATCCAGAGGTATCACCGAGCTGCGAAACTGGTGGAAGAGGGGTCCGAGGCCAGCTCTCGACAACTGACGCCCAGAGGCCGAGGGGCAAGTGAGAAACAGAACAAGGGGAAGAGACATATGTGAGGGGGCGCGAGTCAGACGACACATGACAATCTGAGAGCAAGGGGAAGTCAACGAAAGGAAAAGACCACGCGGATGAGCGAAAAAACGATCGGGCGAGATGCAATTGATGTCAACCACGGTCTCTCGGTTCACTCGTGATCGTTCTGTGTCTGCTGAGTCACAGTGAGTCTTCATGCTGAGACAGGAGACACGTGTGTAAGAAGGAAGGCACGTTAGGGTCAACGGGGAGGGAAAAAAAAAAGAGGCGAAAGAAAAACATGAGAGGGCGGTCTGTGAAGAGAGAGACAGGGTGAGCGAAACGTGATGCGAGCCCGCGGTGAGCTCCGGACTAATGTCATGATCACCATTGTTGTCAGGCCTACTAAAGAAAAATTGAAATAGTGAGATCGATGGAGAGGTCAGTGGTTCGAAGAATGTTCGTTAGCCCTATGGCAACTTCTTGAAAGTGATCGGATGGTACAATCTTTCGTGCATTGCCAATCCCGCCTCTTTCACTAACTTTGGTTCTCTAGTTATTTCACCGATCAACTGAGAATTACCCTTGAATGAAGCAGAGGGTACGGGAATCACAGTCACTATGGACAACGTGAGCTGGTGTATCTAACTTGGCCTGTGGATCTTATACATGTCAGACAAGCAAACATGGTAAATCTATGAGCGCAAATCACTGATTGGAGATAAGTGGTTGGCTGGCAGCGACTCAAACGAGAAAAGCTCATGGTCAATCCAATCAGATAAGAGAGACACTCTTTTACCCCTTTCAGTTTTGTTTATTTAATTCATTTATTTAATGGGTCAGCAATTTTGTTCAGGCGAAAGTTCCAACAGTGATTTTGATCATTCAGGAGAGTGGTTTATCTGTTTATACTGGTCCATCACGCCTTAAATGAACCAATGGTGAGTAATAAAGGTTGTGATCCGAATGTGTTCTCTGATGGGCAAGAAGCAGCGTATTTTAAGGGAAATTGTGTATTTATTGGCCAAATTCTATATGGACGGTGACTAGTGATTGCTCGTAAGCTGCTCTTAATCCCACGTCCCAGGCCTGTTAGGTGACTCGTGACAGGTTGATTGAGCGGTCGTGCTCCCTGGTGTCACTCCTGAATGAGGTCTGTTTGGATGATCTCTCAGCACGACACACGCTCTGAGACTACTCCGGTGCTTCGGACTGTAGGCGGGCAATCCTACGTGGCCATAATACTGGGAAAAGCGCGCACCACCTCAACAAGCATGCCTTTACCTGATTTTGTCAACACTGTGGAGGCCACTTAGCGCCATGCCGTGTGCAAAATGAGTGAGAACAAGCCTCGAGAGTTGCCATGTGCATCAAAAGTTGAATGGAAACCACTACCAGGAAAATCTCAGGCAAACCCAACACTAGCAGCACTCGGAAAGACAGACAACTCAAACCAGGCTCACGCAAATTTAGTCAGTGACGGACCAAGACAACTTTCAGCAGACTCAAGCGGAAAAATTGACAGACTGACAAATAGATTCGGCAAATTCAGACTATTCCAGAATTCAACTAATATCCGGAAAATCAGTCGCGAACTCAATTCTCAGATTTGGCTGTTATATCACTGAGGCAAAAGAGGCCTGCATCTAATATTTCAATCAGTTATCCATCAGGATTAGTGGTCTGAAGCGCGAACTCGACGCTCACTAATCAACTCTACTCATCAGTTCGAATCAAAAAAAAAAAAAGGTCAGTAACTTTATTCGGCACCGAAAGTCATATTGAGGGAGTTGTTTCAGTCGGATCATGACCTATCACACGGTCTGAGCGGCCTTTGGCATTAATACAGAAACCCGGGAGGTGGTTCCTGTTGGTCAGGCGTCAATGGTATTCACAATGGGACGGACTCTTAAGGATAAACTCAATGTTAGTTCTTAACCGGGAAGGAAAAGGGGAGGACTCTGGTCGGCTCTAGCAACTTAGACTGTCGGGAAGACATGAAAGGCAGTGAGGTGCTAGTCGTAAAGAGCAACTTTGTCAGGGACAAGAAGAGGGGATGGAAGGAGGAGGCGTACCTGGATATGGACTCTCATAGGCAGAGTCAACGTGAATATGCAGTTCACATGATAAAGACAGAGAAATATATTGAATATGTGATTTATTTTACGGGTCGGATGGCAAACTGCACAGTACTGGCTCCTCGCTGGAGAGCGTGGAACGGGCCAGGGCGAGCCTCGCGTGAACTCAACTAGTACCCGGGTTACCATCTCCGAGAACCTATCAACACCCAACAAACGAGCGTTTTCTTTCACAATCTGCAGTTCCTTTCCTGTATTATGACGTGGTAAATCACGGTTCGGAGCCAGACATTTTGTCAATACTCAGATAAAGCATTTTGACAGTACTTGGAACTCAGGAAAAGCATTCAGACAGTACTCAGAACTCAGATAAAGCATTTGGCAGTACTCATGACTCAGAACAGCACTTTGTGTAGTATTCAGAGCTTGGAGCATTGTTCTACCCTTATTCAGTTGCTACTCAACTATTGCTCAAATTATATTATCCTATTGCCGACCAGTCACTACTCAATCTGCATTTAATAAGTGAACAAACAGTCCGAACTGCAGATGACATTCATTAGCAAGCCACAGTCAATTTAGAACAGCGAAAAACATTCACTAGCAAGCAGCGGTCAATTTATTCAGGTCAGCATTCAGAAAAGTTATACCAGTACAGTATTCAGAGCAACATACAGAAACAACATTCAGAGCAGCATCCAGAACGACATCTAGAACACCATTCAAAAGGCATTTGTGCAGCATTTAAACAAGCATTCGGGAGCTTGTCAATCAATTAGTGGTTGACGTCTATTCAGTGAACAGCGTTCGACTCGGCCGTAGCGGTCGCCCGTCAATCAAGCAGTCATTTTTCTCTGTCTGGGAGTAGCTATCTACCAAACACATGAGAGAGATCAACCGCATCATAGTTGACGAGTCGGTCCTTGACAGCCTTTCCCCTACAAATACGTCATGATTGATGGGTTCAAGCGAGAAGATCTGTTTATCTTCATCGCTCTCACTGAATTCGTTGAAGGCACAGTCAGTGACCTACGGATCTGAAAAAGGGGAACGAAACACACCCTCATTTTTATGCAGTATGGGCAGCAGCAGCTGGGTATGTGCAGTGGAAAGCGGAGAGACTCCAGGGGAACATAAAGCTAGTCCATAGCTTTGGTCCTCAGTTGTTCACTGACTATCCCAAGCGTCCGGTCCCCTACTACCTCACTGAGGGCTCTTATTGGGGCGGATTGGTGGACTTGGCCAAGAGGTACACATCGCCAGCAGTGATCCACTATGAGGCACTGACCGGGCCCTCTGAGTTTCCGCATCTCAGGAGGGGCGTTTTCTCTCAGCCATATCTCCCCACACTATGGGAGGAGTTTTGTGCCATGCTTGACTTCCGTATTATGGGACTTGGCTGAAAGTGTTTTGAGTTAGTAGGTTTCAGATGGCATTACATTCAGAAGCCACAACCTCAGAAAGTACGGAGACATGGCAAGAAGCCCAAACGGCGGACAACAAAGTGAAAAGATGAGTGTAAGGTTCAAAGGGAGGAGTGAGGACTCCAGATTGGTGTTGGTCATGCTCTCCTCAATATGTACTTCTTGAGACTATTATGAGTTCTCATTCTTCCCTGATTCATTTGACTCTGTCTTTTCTTGTGTCAGTCGGTTTTGCCTCTTGCATTGTTCTCAGACTTGCTTGATGATTGCTCTCATGGATGATTCTGTCACAGTTCTAAAAATCAGATTGACGTAATTGATGCATGCTTAGCACTCCACAATCTTTATGATTATTATTATCTGCATGTTTCTCTGCTGTTCCGAATCAAAATAAAAGATTCCTAAGACTGGGGACCGGCGAAGACCGTAATTGAAGGGTCTTGCTCAAAGTCGGACGCACACAACAGGAAGGGATTTGCTTTATTTAATTTATTTTATTTATTGCAATCACATACAAAATCCTGAGTGACAGCCTGTTGGCTTTCTTGGTCGCCCGTAGAGGCCCGACTGAGAAAAAGTGCGACAACGTGCCCAACAAGAAAATGAAATAATATTAATTAAAATAAAAATATTTCAAGAAAATTTGGACGACGGGAGAGGGAGAACCGTCGGACCCTTCCCTCGACACTGCCTATCGGGCCCGCAACCGGGCTCCCCAACAAAACTAAGGGGGATAGTCCCGCGGGACCCTCGACCCCTCAACTTTTTTTCCCCATGGCGTTCCTCCGCTGCCGGCTGCTGGTTTCGATCCCCGCATCTGAACGCTGAAAGTTCGATGTGTTAACCAATAGGGCTAAGCCCAAGCCTGAACCTAGTTGGCGTCGTTCCCTACATGAAGAGTAACCGCGTCTGGCTTAAGTATGTCGAGGTGCACCAAGGCCGGCACTTGGCTTTCCATCCTGGCCCATGGTCACTGCGCACCCTGTATTTACTATTTTTAGGGGCGGTTCTCGCTCACGCTGTTCTGTGAGGGCTTGACCCCCATACCGGTCGCTCATCCAACTAATTCGACGCACGCCCTCGAAGTGCGCGCCCACACACTCTCTAATCAGATCAAGGCGTGTGCCATTCCCAACCCCTGAGAACCGGTCATGGCCACACAAAAATGAGTCACTCTCCCAGTAACGTCAAAGAACGTATTTCCTGCAAGATGCAAAAATGTGCCCAAATGCCCTTGTAAGGGTATTCGGGCCTACAACGCGGCCAAAATCGGTCGCGCCCAACTGTCTCTTCCCTGCGGCGCAAGTTGGTTTCAGTCGCGAGATTGCCTCTGCCCTTAGTCACGTGGCTTACAGCCACTGGCATATTTTTAAACCAGCGCGGTTGTTTCAGCCGCGAGATTTCGAAGATCATTCGGTCTCGCCCAATTGCCTTTGCCTTGCGGCCAGCTTCAAAAGGAGCTAGCCCATTTTGGAGCTGGCCTAGCAGCGCAGATTTATTTCGATCCCTAAGTCTACAGGGTGAGACTCCAGTGCCATAACCTACTGGCCCAGCTCCTTCTACGGATGTAAAAGGAGCAACTCTTCTTTAAGAAGAACGTATATTTTTCTATTAATTCAGCGTACAACTTGGCTGGCTCTATTGGCCTCATCC